AGTATTTAATCGAGAATTTATTGGTTTGAAAAACTATTGTTGTCCTATTGTTGTCATTTGACCTTTATACAATGCATGAATGTAGCCACGTACACACGTGTGTGTGTGTGTGTGTGTGTGTGTGTGTGATCATGTGACACTGAAAATTCAGCTTTGTCATCACAGGAATCAATTTTAAACATTTTAAAAACAGAAAACATTTTTTTTTACTTTTAATCCATTTTATGTATGTCCTTGCTGAATAAAAGTATTATTCTCCTTTGTGTGTGTGTAAAGAAATAAATACTTTCAGGACACATTCATTTGATCAAAAGTGACAGGAAAGACATTTCAAATAAATGCCGTTCTTTTGAAATTTCATCAAATAATCCTTTTAAAAAGTATCACGGTTTCCACAAAAATATTAAGCAGCAGAATTGTTTTCAAGCTTTGCCATCAGAGGAAGATTTAATTTCAAATCTATTCAAATAGAAAAGTTATTTTAAATTGTAATGATATTTCACAATTACTGTCTTTTTGATCAAATAAATGCAGTCTTGGTGAGCATAAGAAACTTAAAAAAAAACAAAAAAAACTTACACCCTCAACATTTCGGCAGTACTTTCCCCTTTTAAAGCATTTTATTTTTATTAGAAGTAATTACATTTTTGCACTTGACAATTTTATTGTGGGTCCACCTACAGGAAAGTTCCAATATCTGTCGTTGATACAGTTTTCAGAATGCTATTTTGACTTGACTAGTATTAACTTTCGAGATTCTATTTAAAAACATAAAAAAAACTCAATTCAAAGTAACAGATCAACCCAACCCAAGGTTGTCTCGCGGTTTAGCAGCATCTGTTCAAGTAACTGCATTAATTCAATGTACTGACATTTTCTCAAGTTGAGCGACTGACTGGGTTTAAAAACAAACATTCAACGCATGTTAATTTAAGCCAAAGGTAAGGAAAACCATCTTACCTGTCCCCATTGAGACCAGTGAAAGCGGTAGTAGAAGCAGTGGCCAAGCCTTCACACTTGTCATTGTTAGTGTGTTATTCAGCAGCAAACACTTGTCGTGAATTCACAACCACTGGCGGAAAAAACTTAACGGGCGGAACGCAAGAGGATGAAATAACGATAAAGCACTACACAGACAAGGATATTCCCCATATTAGCTTAATTGGTCACTTTCCCGCTGCAGATGAAAAGAAAAACTGGAAAATTAAAAGGAAAAAGCGCTTCATAGTTTGGCGTGCACTAGACTGTCAAACTCGAGGAAACACGCCCATTCTGTGACGTGTTACCAGCCTGCCCTTCCCTTCAGATTAAAGACTGACAACATATGATTCAAATCATTTAACTGTTTTATACTCGCTATGAAATAGCAGCGCACTTACTCTGCTGTTCAGTACTGTCTACCTATTATATAGTCTCCTTAAAAAAAAAACAATAAGTAACAATAAATCAGTTCAGCCAAGACGCAAATTAAATGTAGTGGCAATAAGGACATTTATAATTCTTACAAAATAAAAATAATTCAAATAGGCTCAATGCTGTTCTTTTAAACTTTCTATTCGTCAAATAATCATATTTTTCTTGAGCATCAAATCAGCATATTAGAATGATTTCTGAAGGTAGCCACGTACACACGTGTGTGTGTGTGTGTGTGTGTGTGTGTGTGTGATCATGTGACACTGAAAATTCAGCTTTGTCATCACAGGAATCAATTTTAAACATTTTAAAAACAGAAAAAATTTTTTTTTACTTTTAATCCATTTTATGTATGTCCTTGCTGAATAAAATTATTATTCTCCTTAAAAAAAAAACAATAAGTAACAATAAATCAGTTCAGCCAAGACGCAAATTAAATGTAGTGGCAATAAGGACATTTATAATTCTTACAAAATAAAAATAATTCAAATAGGCTCAATGCTGTTCTTTTAAACTTTCTATTCGTCAAATAATCATATTTTTCTTGAGCATCAAATCAGCATATTAGAATGATTTCTGAAGGACCATGTGACTCTGAAGACTGTAATGATGCTGAAAATTCAGCTTTGCATCACAGGAATAACATAAAATAATTGTAATACTATTAACAATATTCATGTTTTATTGTATGTTTAATCAAATAAATGCAGTCTACGTTGTGGATGACTTTGAGATATAAAACATGACAGAATAATTTCCAAAATCTGTGAATGATCAAGAATATTAATTGTACAACATAAATAAATGGATGCAGTTGCTATAGTGTGCATGTATTTGAATAACAAAAGTGCAAATGAATCCAGTCTGGTGAGGTCTTGAAGACAGTCTCCAGTTTGCATTTTCAGAGTTCATGGAATGTGTGAGTCAGTGTAAGGGTGTTCCCCAACAAGGGCGTCCCTCATGAAGCTTTAATCTGATGATGTTTGACAGTGTAGCCTAGTTACAATAGCATTTTCTTCCTCAGTGCTTTATGGTAACTATTTACCATACATTTAATTGCTAACATCAGTCCCCATAACGTGATGAATACACAACATGTGTGTGTGTGCGCGTGTGTGTACTCCCATAGAAACTAGTTTTGATTGCTATAGTCACTGTGTGTAAGTATCCACAAAGCGTTTAATGATTCAAGCATCATAGCTCACAGGGACAAATTTATCTGCTGAAAAATATCAATCATCCTTCAACATCACGTATGGTAATATCACTCTAGGAAGTCAACATAAAATAAATGCAAATTAAGCTGTGAAGTAAACCCATGTACACTACTGGTCAAAAGTTTGAATATTGTGATATAATGTAATATTGTGAAATAAAAAATAACTGTTATAATATAATAATATAACATAATATAATATAAAATGTAATTTATTCCTCTAAATGATCAATCTGAATTTTCAGAATCGTTGTTCCAGTCTTCAGTCTCACGTGATCCTTTAGAAATTATTATGTTGATTTGCTGCTCAGTGCGTCAACTATTATTGGTGCTCAATTATTAATAATTAACAGTTCTTATTATTATCAATTATTTATATTTTTAATCTTACTTATCCTGAAGTTTTGAATGGTAGTGTTGTCCAGTTTCCACAAAGCAGCACAACTGTTTTCAACAATGACAATAAGAAATGTTTGTTTGTTTGTTTTTTTCATATTAGAATCATTTCTGAAGAATCACGTGACACTGAAGACTAGAGTAATGGCTGCTGAAAACTCAGCTTTACCATCACAGCAATAAATTATTTTCAAATATTTTCAAATTTAAAAAAAAACGTTCTTTTAAATTGTAAATATATTTCACAATATTCCTGTTTTTCCTGTATTTTTGATCAAATCAATGCAGCTTTGGTGAGCAGAAGAGACTTCTTTCAAAAACCTAACTATTCCAGACTTTTGACCTGTGACCATTTCATTGTATATACAGCTGTATTTTCTTCCTCTTTTATCAGTGAAACTGAATGACCTCTATAAAATCAACTTCGTTCCATCAGGAATTATTTTAAATGCTCAGAGCTCAACATATTAAAGCAGACTTCAAATGTGATCTCTGTGCTTATCTGAGAAACACACACCCCACCCATTTTATCCTGGCCCGACAAGACAGATACCTCATCCACTCTTTCCTTATTTACAACAGAACCTGGTCTGTTTTTAATCAGCTTGTCCACAGCATTTAAGGTTCAAAGTGTAAAGTTCTAGAGTGGCACATGATTGTTTATAGCATGTACTGTGTTGTAGCCCAATAACTTTACTGCTCAAGCCTCACATATAGCACAAGTAAACATTTCAACAAGAACACAGCTGTGTAATTTTGCATTATAACAATAACATATTAAATTGTGCGTTCATTATAAGTACATAAATCTTTATTAGACCACATAATCAAGTGTTTTGCTTACATTCGTGATGTGTTTTATTGGAAATGACTCGTTAGTGACACCTGCTGTCGGTTCATAGAAACTGTGAGGCCTGTGCGCATTAAAGAATCCTAATATATTTCACCTGTCAGACATTTATTATCCACTTTCACCACTGCTTCAGTGGTTTGCAATACATTTATCTGCTCTTTTATATCTCTGCTACCGCCTACAATACCTCCTCCAGTCTCTACGGAGTGCTTAACACATCGCTGAGCAATCATGAAATGATACAGCAGTGTTCTGCTTAACTCAGCAGAACAAATGCTGCTTAGACTGGCATATTTAAAGTAGTCTACATTTTGTTCTTTGTGACAAGCCATACTGTAGGTTTTATCATCTAGAAAATGCTGTAGGCGTGACAGGCCGGGATAAGACTTTCTGTAGACAACTTGAGCTGGGATAATAAATGTCATGGTCACAGTCATTGTATTTTTTAAAAATCTTATAGCTTCAAGTCATCTTAAAATAATGAAATTAGTCGAACATTGCTCTTATCTGTATGCGCTCGTTTTTGTCACACTGCCTGTTCCTCTGCAAAACTCAGCAGAAAGTGATCTTAATTAAAATATGAATTAAACCGAGCTGATGTTAAATATAGAAATGATATAGCAATTAAGGAATAATTCACATATTTCGATAACATCATTATTCTAAAGCGGCAAGTCACAAGCTTTAGATTTTTTTAATAACTGAAGTTATTTTTAAGTAAAAAGTGGATCGTTCAGGAGACCCTTATTATTCAAAGACCATTTTATTTTACATAGATTTTTCATAATTTTAAAACTCATTTGATTTGATTTTGCATAAAACGCTACATGACCAGAACACCAGGATATGATTTTATTTTCTGTGCTCTGACTTGAAATATTTTCCCGCCATACTTAAATAATTACTTAGAAAAATAACAGAACAAATGTACATATTTTTATTCTTTCTTCTGAGACCACTCAGCTATTTTTTATAAAGTTGCTGTACACTATTTAAACATTTACAACAATCAGACCACGTTATATTGAGCCCATATGTATTTAGTCTAACATGAGGTGATTCTAGGCCTCACTTTTAAATATGAACACTGAGATGGGTTGCGTATGTACAGCAGATGCTAACATTGCTTCACATTTTGTCGAATTTAAACAGTTTTCGAAGTCTGTCATATGCACAAAACAAAATGTAACACCGCCACAATTTATGGTGAACAATAATCTTGTCTTTGTGATTAGTTTGCATTCTCATCATTTATATCAAAGCCGTGTCACAGCTGTTAGTTACATATGCAAACCCTGAGGTTATAATCACTTCACACACAACATATGGGATGGCCACCAGTCCTTTGGTATTGATAGATCATATCACTTTCCTATGAATTCACACCTTACACGTTTATCTTGGCCACATTTCAGACCTCAAAACCCCAATAAATCAGCCCTTTCAGAAACCTCCCACAACTGACCGTGTGTTGCAAGCAGGCATGGAAAAAATTAGTTGATGATTATCATATAGATAGTTTGATAGAAGACATTATACCCGCAACATTCCTGTTTTTAGGAGGGATCATTTTTCCCTGCTTCGTAGTCTGTATTTAAAGACAGCAAATCTTTGCACATTAGGGTGAATCTCACAGAAACTTGTCTGGATCATATTTCACCTCCAAAATAAAAAAATGTGCATAAGGACAATGAAGCCTAATGAAGTCTATTCTTAGGATTTTTATGATTTGTTGCATTGTGACAGTATGCATGAATTTAAGCACATTTCTCCCCTAAAAAATTCTCTGTAATTGATTCAGAAGGTTTGCTTTTTACTGCAGTTATATTTATTAGATTCTCATTATTTTAATGCAATATAAAATATAAAAATATTTTAATATTAAATGTATTATTTTAATAAGTTTAAGTTAAACCAAATGCAAACATTTTTTTTTTAATATTTAAGTTACAGTAATGTGAGTTTGAAGAGTAAATGTGCTTAATTGTCATAAAAATAATGTCATAATATTAAAAATAATAATAAAAAATCAGGCCTTAATTCTCTTAAAGGAACAGTTCACCCAAAAATTAAAATTTGCTAAAAATTTACTCCCCCCTCAGGCACAAGTTTGTTTCTTCATCAGAACAGATTTGGACAAATTTAGCATTACATCACTTGCTCACCAATAGATCCTTTGCAGTGAATGGGTGCCGTCAGAATGAGAGTCCAAACAGCTGATAAAAACATCACAATAATCCACAAGTAATCCACATGACTCCAGTTCATCAGTTTACAGTGAAAAGCTGTGTTTGTAAGAAACAAATCCATCATTAAGATGTTTTAACTTCAAGCTGTTACTTCTGGCTAAAATACAAGTCCTCGATCCATGATATTGCTTTCTCCAGTGAAAAAGTTGTCTTGTGTGAATCAGAAGAGAACGATTCAAAGATTAAGCACAGTTTACAAGCCAAAACCATCCAAAACAAATATGTCAGTATTTTGGCCAGAAGCGACGGTTTTAAATTAAAATGCCTTTATGATGGATTTGTATATTACAAACATGCAGCTTTTTGCTTCACAAGACAATAATTGATGTACTTAAATCATGTGGATTACTTGTGGATTATTTTGATGTTTTTATCAGCTGTCTGGACTCTCATTCTGACGGCACCCATTCATTCTTGAATGGCCTGAAGGTGAGTAAATTCAGCAAATTTCAATTTTTGGGTGAACTTTAATGCAAAAAATTTGAGATCAAATATGACCCCTTGACAACCTTCATGATGTTCATCCTTGTGCATTGGCTTCTGATGGTCATAAATCGAAGCTAGACTGATGTAGAGTACAGTATAGCCTCATAACTGAGAGGTTGAATTGCTAGACTGGACATGCATGTCCCGGAAAAATAAAATAAATATTTACCATATTAAATCTGATTTCATAGAATATTTAAAAATACATTTGCATGTACCATTTGTTTTGTGACAAGTCAAAACAGTTGCTACAAGGTAAAACTACCACGGTGCTTAGCAAGAGCCTGGATCTCTACACCGAAATCAATGTCACAATCTGTTATAGCTACATGTATCTATTCATGTACATATTTCAATAAATAAACATTTGATCATGTTCTTGGTATATTAAAGCACAAGTTTCTGGTCATTTGCAATTATAATATTTGGAGATCAGGGAATCAAAGACATGGAAGAGAGGGAGAACAGTCTGAAAAGTCCCTGGTAAAGCCCCCAGTCTTCATGACAGTTCTTATTTACACCATTTGAAAGCATTAGAGATAAACTGCATGGGTCTAAAAGGCATGCAACAAAACAAGGAGTTTGTGTGTTCTACTTTGCATGCAGGGGGAAAAAATTATTCTTTGGGGTGAGGACGTGCTGTTTATAACCGAAACATAAACTTGCATTGTCGTTTTAGTTATTGATGGGGCGTCTTCCCTTAAATTGCATAAGGAAGGATTGCATTGTGATGTCGAGAGAGTCCTCATGTTGTTTAATGTCAGCTGGCATAAAGCAAATTAAAAGAGGCTGTCCGGACAAAACGGAGCTCCATGCGTTTGACCACAAAGCCTCAGAAATTGCCTGTCCAAGACGATTAAGCTCCAAATGATTGCCATAAAGCAGTTTAGATTAAACTTCATGTCGAATCAGTCTGTTTATAAGACTGCTTATTACAAACATTTTTAAATAATTTGAATGAGAAGCTCATGCTGACCACTGTCCAAAGAGAAGGACATTAATATGGTTCACATGATACGCTCTGAAGCTAAGCAGGCATAAGCCTGGTCAGCAACTGGTTGGGAGACCACCTGGAGAAAAACAAGGTGTAAGGCCAAAAACATACTCTTGGAAAGTATGTGTACAAGCATGTGAATGATTGGCCTATGCACTGAATGTACATGGTGCTGTTATACATATAAAGCTTGCATTATTATGGCGGTTTCAAACCTCACTATTCAATCAGGTGATAAAGGTAAGACCTTGAGGTGTCTGTGCCTTTCAGCTGTTGACTTGTTTATAGCTACCGATCTGAATAATAAACAACCTGGTTTAAAGTTGGCATGAAATGAAAATTCACGCGATCTACTTACTTAATGCATGTTATTGAGCTTGTTGTGAACAATTCATCTATTATTCTTTTTTGGGACTGTTAGTCAATGGGACCCAAAACCATTTAGGCTACAAAAGAAGACATTTTGAATAAATCTGGCAACCAAACAGTTTCAGGTCCCACTGACTTCCATTGTATTTGTTGTCCATACTATGGAAGTCAATGGGAGCGCAAACCATTTGGTTACCAATATTCTTACCAAAATATCTTCCACAGAAGAAAGAAAGGTTTGGAATGACATGAGGCTTATTTGCAAGCTTATCTGCTTTGGATTCACAAGTAAAAAACTTTACTATTTTTGACTTTATGCAGTAGAACTTATTATATGATGTATCAACTTTGAGTTGATTCAACCATTTTTTCCATAAATCCGTTCTTATTAAAAAACTCAACTTCTGATTTGTATTTTTTACAGTATAAGGAACACGTTAATGAGAAGTTAGGCTAGTGTAAAATTCTATGCAAGTGCAAATGCTTGAAACACTGCCCTGCTGTACATAGATGTACAAAGAAATCTCAATCATCCCCTTAAGTACTTTGAGTAACCCCTTGAATATGCTTAGTCTTGTATTCAAGAAGGTGTACTCAAGAAGGTTTTCTTCAAATGTCTGTGCCAATAAACCAGATGTGTTGTTATTTAGGTAGCTAGCTATAAACATGTCGACAGTTTAACTAACTTGCTCAGCAAGATTCTCTTCCACCAGCAGATCATTTGTGCTAATTCCCATGATAGTGCTGAAATGCTGAGAATACAATGTGTAGCCTACTTGCAATCCATGATGAACAGTGTGAAATCTTAGCTAGAAGTGGTACATTCACATACTTGCATATGTTTCTGGTTTTAAACCTTCTATTCCCAAGGATCGCCAAACTATTCACAAACATCTCGCATCGCTTCCTCATGCGTGAGGATACGTGCAAAACTAGGGATCTTCCAGAGGCCGTCGCTCAAGGGTGCAGGATGGTCAAAGACTAGACTTGCCCTGGTGGTGACTGGAGCCGCATCTGTGGTGACAATGTCATCTTTCCTGTCTTCACTCTCATTTCCTTTCCTTTTGCTTCCATTCTTATCTGTAATCATTTCCTTCCTGTTTTCTCCCTTTTGATCCCCCTTATCCTTTGTTTGTTTGCTCTTCTTGTCTCCCTCTCTGCTCGATATGTGGGTGCTTTCATTTTGCATGTCTCTATCTCTCTGTTTTTTCTTCTTTTGGGTGCTTTTGAGCTCAGTTTCTCCATTTGGCTCAGCTGCTTCATTCTCTCCTTTGCTTCTCACTTTTCTCTCAGCTCTCCACCTCTCCTCCCCTTCTTGGGTCTCATTTTGCATCCTTCCTCTAGATTCCTGTTTTTTCCTGTTTCTTTCAGTGTCACTTTTCCTCTGGTCCACGCTTGGTGTTCCCTTCATGCGGCGTTCCTCTTTCCGTCCCTGCGCTTCTCCAATTACCACTTCCTGTCCTTCACGCTTTGACTTCTGGGGACTGACTGAGCGATGTTGGAAGGACTTTCTGTTCTTGTGGGAGTCTCGAGTGCTTTGTTGCAGATTTTCTTTGTGGCTGTGAGCTTTGTCTTTGGCTTTGGATGGTCTTTTGGATTTCTCTGTATCTCCGAGATCAAGGAGATTCTCTGCGGACCGACTCTTGATGCACCGTTGCTGCGGGACTCTGGAAGAGCTGGTGTTTGGTGGTTTGGCACACTTCTCCCTCTTGCTGTCTTTAGAGCGAGGATCTTCACAGGCCAGATCCAAGGAGCAGCGAGAACAGGCAAAGGAGCTTGTCAGGTTTGATGTTTCCTTCTTCACTGAGGTGGATGACAGATGAAGGAGAGGAGAACTGAGAGGAATGTTGGATCTCGGCAGATCAGGAAGGATAACATCTCCAGCAGAACCTAAGGGCGAACAGATCTGCATTGGATACACTGCCTAGAATTAAAATTCTATTACTAATTGAGGCCTTTTACCAAAAATTTACCATGGTAACCAGTTATTTTTGGGTGGTGTTTGCCTGCTCTAAAATCCACAATACTAGAGTGTTGTGGCTGGTTGCACATGCATTGCTATGTAGTTGACAGGTTGCTAAGGCACTGCTAGATTGTTCTCGGTGGTTGCTAGGGCACTAATTATTGTGGGTGGTTGCTACATGATTGCTACAGTGTTCTGGGGGTTGCTAGGGCACTGATAGAGTAGTTTGGGTGGTTGCTAAAGCACTGATAGTGTGTAATAGGTGGTTGTTAGTGATTTGTAAAGTGTTCTTGGTGATTGCTAGAGTGTTGTAGTGGTTGCTAGAGCATTGCTAGAGTGTTTCCCAAAAGTACTGTTAGCCTACTATGGTTTTCCGAAACCACAGTTCCAACGAACATAACAAACAGCATCGTAAACTTGTGTGGTTGGAACAACAGCTCTTGACCTGTGGTTAGAAACATAGTTTCTTGTTTGTATGGCATGTGGACTTTATAAATCCTTGTCTTGAGCAAAATAAGCAAGCTGACATTCAGTACAGTCTATATATTTAATTTCTAATACATACAAATTTAATTTATGTCTTTTAGTTTGTCAAGAGATTTAAAGCACCATTTTTGAAGAGTGCATGTGCATATGTGCTCTAGTACGTAAGAAAGAGCCAATGATTGAATTTGGAAATAAAGCTAAATAATTCAGAAAAAGATAATTCGCCCTCAGATGCCATGTCCATAATTTACAGCCAAAAATCTGGCATTAATTCAATCTCAAATGGATTAATTAAAAGAAGTTATTACTCTACCACCTGCATGACATCATTCGTTTCAGGAAACAGTTGTGACTAAGTAGTTGATTTCTTCATACTATGCAAGTTAAGCAGTGAGTGTAGGAAACACACCCCAGGATGGTTGTAATAATTTTAAATAAATTGGAAAATTAAAAATCAAAATATATATTACAATATGTAAAACAATATTTAGTATGTAAAAATAATGTATATAATTATATGTCATATTTTTATTTGGTTTTGAGTGAAACCATTCTCCATGGTGTTGTGACTGCAAAGAGCATGAACATATTCTACAGATCTAAAAACTTACACAATAAAGCAGAGAAAAGACTAGTAATTAAGGAGCAAAGAAAGTGCAGTGAAAGTCCCATTACCAAAGAATAAAAGACCTAGAGGAAAAGAGGCTGTTAGTGATGATACTCCTGGGGGCAATAACACACCGCAGAGGAGCTTACACAACCTGCACAGAAGAAAGAAAGAAAGAAAGAAAGAAAGAAAGCTGAAGTTAGCAAGCAACCCATATTGTCTTGATGTTCTTGCAGTATGCTTACGTATAGCAGCATCATCATGTATTTGTGTGTCATAACTCACTGTTCTCTGATAAGAGGGCTTGCGGTCGCAGTAACAGTAGCACTTTGTTTCCTCCAGCTTGGATCAGCTCAATGGCTCTAGTGTGACTGATGTCTTGCGTCTGTTCTCCATTGATCTCCACTACCTGATCTCCTACCTGCACATTCAGGCATAAGGTCATTTATGTGTTTTATCATTCTTGAAATATCTTATTGATCTCTTGTTCAGGCCATAAGAGGTGATGATTTTATTTAAAGTCCAAAATATCAGTCTTGCTTTTCATACAGCATCCGCCACTGAAAATCCCATATCAATTCACAAGCAGGAAGATGATGATTGATTTGGCCTTGAAAGTCAATTAACATTTACATATAATTCTTCTGGCCGGCACTTTTATCCAAAGCATATTGCACTGCATTCAAGCTATACATTTTTTCATGCATTTCCTGGGATCAAACCCATGAAAAGCGTTCTGTCACTTGACTGCACAGACACTATTGGAAGAGAACTGAACTGAGCTGGACGATGACATCACTGAATCAATAACAACCTGACTTTAACTGATAAACTGACTGTTTTCTATTGTGATCTTGCTTTCTCAGCACACGTTTTTCCTGTTTAACACTGTAAAGCTGCTTTGACACAATCTGTATTGTATAAAGCGCTATATAAATAAAGGTGACTTGACTTCTTTTGCTGTTGGACTTTACAGAACTGAAAACAGCTTCTCAAGACATCCTAGTTTGAAATATTTTGAGTATAAAAAGGTATTCAGCTTTCCTTAAACCTTTTTATTACATTTAAATGCACTCTGCAGATGTTTCCCCAAAATCACTGCAGAAGATGGAAAAAAGTCAGCAGATTCCATCCGCAACGCTTGAGTTATTAAAGAGTGGTGTGCTGTACTGACATGTATCCTGCCATCCTGTAGAGCGGGGCCATCCTCAGCCAGCCGCAGGATGTAGAGGCCCATGTTATACTCCGTTCCTCCTCTCAGACTGAAGCCAAAACCACGAGGTCTGCGCTCCAACTCTACTGCAATACAGCCCTAGGTAGAAAATACATATATCCACTACCGTTAAAAAGTTTTAGGTCATTTTTTGAAAGAAGTCTCCTATGCTTAACTAAGCTGCATTTATTTGGTCAAAAATACAATTACAAATTGTGAATTATTATTACAATTTAAAATAACTGTTTTATATTTTAATATACATTTAAACCCTGGACTAATGCCGAGTTCACACTGCACGATTTTAGCCCGATTTTTCACTCGCCGACAGGTTTTGTGAAATCGCCGACAAATGCCCGAAATCGGAGGCAAATCGGTGCTCGTTCACGCGAGTGACAATCACACAGTGTGAATTATCAAAGACGCGATCTGAGGGAATCGCCGACGCGTCGCCGACGCCCGTGAAATATTTGGCATTCTAAATATCTGGAGCTGTCGGCGATTCACAATCACGCTGTGTGAAATGAGTTCTGACTGAAAAACACATCGGCGA